TTAATATGATAGTCCTTTTATGGAAATCTATTATTTGTATGAGTGCAGTAAGTTACAGCTTGTATCGAAACATATTATTTTTATGAGTTTGTTAAGATACTATTCGTTAGTACTTGTATGGAAATCTATTATTTGCATCTGTTTAATAAGCTCATACATGTATGGAAATCTATTAATTGTATCTGTTTAATAGGTTAATACTAGCATGAAAATTTAAAATTTGTATGAGATTATTCAGTAAATACTTGTATGGAAATCTTTTATTTGAATGAGTTTAATAAGTTAATACTTACATTAAAATTTAATACAAGTGTAAAAATATCAGCTATTTGCTCTATTTATTTATTTATTTATTTAATTAAAAGCCTTCACTTTTGGATTTAAATATTTTGTATATATATTTTTTAAATTGATATAATTTATAATCAAATTTATTAGGGACACTACCGTCGAGTTTTTAGCAAGCGAAAAGAAAATATATTTTAACTTAAAATTACTATTACCTGTATCTATATATACATTATTATTTTACATAGTTATAGGCATAAGAGAAAACGGAACGGAGTAGGGTTGCTGGTAAGTATGTTTGGAATGAGAGTAAATTCAGTGAGGTGAGTATGCATGTAAATATATAGGTAAGTATAAGGGTAAGTATTTAGGGGATAATTCATATTCATTTAATAAACATTTTATTTGTTATGTTATTCGTAATTCATTTGATTAAAAGTATATTTTCTTAAAATAGTTCTTATAGGATGATGAGGTCATCCTCATCCATGTCTTCAACAACTTGTATGAGATTAATAAGTTAGTACTTGTATGGAAATCTATTATTTGTATCTTCTTAATAAGTTAGTACTTGTACTGTATAAGTACAAGTTCGTTAATTTAGTACTTTTATATATATCTTTTATTTGTAGTAGTTGAATAAGTTAGTACTTGTATGGAAATATATTATTTGTAAGAGTTAATTAAGTTAATATTTGTATGAAAATCTATTATTAGTATGAGTATAATAAGCTTAAAGTTTTTTGAAAATCTAATATTTGTTTGAGCTTAATGTGTTAAGACTTGTATGAAAATTTATTATTTGTATGAGTTTGTTAAGATAATACTTACATGGGAACCTATTATTTGCATCCTTTCAATTAGATAAAACGTGTATGGAAATTTTTTATTTATAGTAGTTTTATAAGCTAGTAGTTAGTTAGTAGTTGTGTAAAAATCGATTATTAGTATGAGATTGTTTGTTGGTACATGTATGGAAATCTTTTTTTTATATCAGTTTAATAAGATAATACTTGTATGGATAACTATTATTTGCAGGAATTGAATAAGTTAATACTTGTTTAAAAATTTAATGCTTGTATGAGTTTTATAAGTTAGTACTTGTGTGGAAATCAATTATTTGAATGGGTTTGTTAAGTTAGTACTTGTATGGAAATCTGTTATTCGTAGGAGTTTTTTAAGTTAGTACTTGTTTAGAAATCTATTACTTCTATGAGTTTAATAAGTTAGTACTTGTTTGCAAAACTTTTATTTGTATGAGTTTAGTAAGTTAATATTTACATGAAAATTTAGTACTTGTATGAGAATAATAAGTTAGTACTTGTATGGGAATCTATTATTTGTATAAGATTAACAAGTTAAAACTTGTAAGAAAATTTTATACCTGTTTGAGATTTATATGATATTACTTGTATGGAAATCAATTATTAGTATGAGTTTTTTAAGTTAGTTCTTATATAGAAATCTATTAATTGAATGAGTTTTTTAAGTCAGTACTTGTACGGAAATCTATTATTTGCATCTGGTTAATATGTTAATACTTGTATGGAATTCTATTATTTGCATCTGTTTAATAACTTTATACTTGTATGGAAATCTTTTATTTGTATGAGTTTAATAAGTTAATACTTACATGAAAATTTAATGCTTGTATGAGATTAATAAGTTGGTACTTGTATGAAAATTTAATAGTCGTATGAAATTAATAAGTCAGTACTTGTATGGAGATCTATTACAGTATAAGTTTGTTAATTTAGTACTTTTATATATATCTTTTAATTGTAGTAGTTGAATAAGTTAGTACTAGTATGGAAATATATTATCTGTAAGAGTTAAATACGTTGATATTTGTATGGAAATCTATTATTTGTATGAGTAAAATTAGCTTAAACTTTTTTGAAAATTTAATATTTGTATGAGTTTGTTAAGAAAATACTTATATGGAAACCTATTATTGTTGTTTAAATTTCTTTTTTTCACTTTTTCACTTTTATTTTCTTTATTATGTAGTTGCATATGTACATGTATTATATATATGTATATGCATATAATTTCCCCTTTTGTACATCTTTTGATTTCAGTAAGGTAATTTTATTTAGTCACTTTTGTTGTTTTCCACCGTTATTGTTTTCCGTTTTGTCACTTGACTTAAATATTTTATTTTATTTTATTTTTTTTTATGGTTTTAATGCGCACATATTATGTATATTTATATTATATATAAAGTAAATAAAAAGTTTATAATATATATGTTCATATGTATGTATGTTTTAATATATGCTCATATATATGTATGTTTTATTAACCACTATACATATGTTTTTTTGCAAATTTTTTGAGATATCTTTTTTCACCACACAAATACGTGTACATATATTCATATGTATGTGAAGTGCTCACGTTTAACTTTTTTTATTTATTTATTTATTTTTTTGGATATAGGGATCACTTTCCTTATTGCTGGCACGATAATTAAAATTCTTTTTTCAATTTAAACACTTTTTAATTTAAAAATCACATTTAATATTACCGCGCGGGACAAATTTTCGCGATTTTCTTCGCTCGCTCTTCGTAAATCGGGGGGTTCGAGTGAATTTTCAACACAATTTTTTTTTTTGAATAGCTTAGTCTTTTTTTCTTTTTAACCAGGTTTCGGCACCATGTAAAAATCTTCAAATTAAATAAAATAATATTACCCTTTCTATTTTATTTTTTTTATATTCAAAAATTTCCTTTGCACTTTATTAATTTGATTATTAAAGAAGTTGTTTAGAACGAGCGAATTAATATTTCTTAACTTAAAACTACCATTACATGCATATTTATATACATTATTACTTTACATATTTATAGGAATAAGAGAAAACGGAACGGAGTAGGGTTGCTGGTAAGTATGTTTGGAATGGGAGTAAATTCAAATTTAATTAGCATTTTATTTGTTATGTTATTCGTAATTCATTTGATTAAAAGTATATTTTCTTAAGATAGTTCTTATAGCATGATGAGGTCATCCTCATCCATGTCTTCAACACTCGGAAAAAGCCTTCTGTGCAACCATATATGCGCGCACAGAAACTTATATACTTATGCAACATCCACCCTACTGGTTGCAAAAAGGAAAATTGCACCTTTGAAAACGATAAGTCTTCCTCGCTTAGAGCTGTGCGGAGCAGTCCTGTTAGCAAAACTGATTGCAACTGTCCAAAACCAGAAGCGTGCAACACATTTTTATGGTCAGACTCTGAAATAGTACTGGTATGGCTCGAAAAACCACCGTGCACATGGAAGACATACGTGTCTAATCGCACCTCCCAAATTCGGGAATATGTCCCAAGCGGAGTATGGCGACATGTAGCAAGCGGTTCCTCTCCGACAGAAAAGTGAAAAATTGAGGCCTTTCATGCGCTCGAAGACAGCCCGATTTCCTCAATCGATTCTCTTCACTCCCTCGAGCAATTCGCGTGACTGCGTATATGTTCCGTTTCGTGAACAATGTCCAGAATAAGTCAAAAATGCAACCGATAACTACCATACCACATCTGACTCATGCTGAATGCCAATTCGCAAAGCAGCGTCTAGTCGAAGTATCGCAATCTCGCTGTTTTCCTGGCGAAAAAGATGCGTTACAAAAGAAAAAGCCAATTGACAAAAAAAGTTCACTCCTCACCCTGAATCCATTTCTGGATAAAAACGGACTTCTCCGCGTCAATGGCAGACTAGCGCATGCCACACTCAGCTATAATGAGCGGCACCCAATCATCATCCCAAATGCATCAAGTTTTTGTCAATTACATTTGAAGTTCCTACATGCACTGCTTCTCCATGCAGAAACGTGCCTCATGCTTCAAATGGTCAGGCAAGAATACTTCATACCGAAGCCAAAGCCTTTAATAAAAAAATGCATTTTTCAATGCAAAGCTTGCACACTATACAAGCAACAAACGCGCTCCCAGCTAATGGCCGCTCTACCCCCTGAGCGGTGCACTATGTCCCTACCATTTCCTGTAACTGGAGTGGACTTCGCAGGACCGTTTTTAATAAAGGCCTCAGTTTTAAGATCCACTACACTCATCAAAGGGTACATTGCCGTATTCGTTTGTTTCGCGACGAAGGCAGTGCATCTCGAGTTAAGCTCTGATCTTACCACTGAGGCATTTAGAGCAGCATTCGCCCGATTTGTGGGCAGGCGAGGATATCCCGCCAAAATGATGAGCTACAATGGAAAAACGTTCATCGGAGCACAGAGAGCAACTGAACGCGAATTCGTTAAATTCCTTAACGAATGTTCAGCAGACAGTACCCAGAAGTATGCTCCCCAAGACATCAATTGGCAATATATACCACCCGGCGCCCCACATACGGGCGGCCTGTGGGAATCCGCAGAAAAGCGTTTTAAAACTCACTTCAAAAAAACCGCTGCATCCCACAAATTCACATTTGAAGAGTTCACAACACTCTTAATTCGAATTGAGGCTGTACTCAATTCCCGGCCACTTTTGGAATTATCACAGGACCCAGCTGACTTCACAGCATTAACTCCGGGTCATTTCATTCGAGGCGCTCCGCTGTCAGCCATTCCCGAGTCGAATGCAGAAACCCTCTGGTTGCATATGTAAACTTCCGATTGTACCGTTTTTCTTCCATTTCCAGACTAAAGACACCAATGGCACCTCGCTGTGCAGTCCCTCTCGCGCCGATGGCAGATACCCGAAACTGCCTACAGTGTCGGCTATGTCACCGCTACCACGCCTTTCGTAATTCCGCCGCTTTCCGTGCAATGCGCCCTCCTCAACGCATCGCGGTGGCCAACGCGCAAGGGTACTGCAGCAACTGTTTGGCGCTAACCCACGTCACGGAAGAGTGTGACTCCCGGGGAAAGTGCAGACGATGCAAAAAGGCGCATCATACTATGCTGCATCCACCAGAGTCGCAATATAGCGAGTCAGCGACAACAACAGCACCCGCAGCAATCAACAAGAAGGCGAAGAAGAAGCAGCAACAAAGGCAGCGTGCCACACAACAACTTGCTGCCCAACAACGTGCCACCCAACAGCGTGCCGCCCAACAACGTGCTGCCCAACAACGTGCCGCCCAACAACGTGCCACCCAACAACGTGCCACCCAACAACGTGCCACCCAACAACGTGCCACCCAACAAAGTGCCACGCAGCAGCGGGACACAAGAAAAGGCACTCATAAAAGGTTGCGGTCGATAGCGCACACCACCACCGGGCTGCAAACTAAAGCGTTCCGAAATCAGACTACCAAGGGCGCTATAGGTGAAACCATCCGCGCCTTGCAAAGCTGCAGAACGCACTAGCCAGTGCATCCCTGCAGGGCGGGCAGGATGCTTAAGCGCGCGCACGACGTAATTTATCACGGCATCTCCAGTGTCAGTGAAAACCAGAAGTTGTATACCAAAAAAATTTATATCAAACGAAATAATTAATTAACGAATAATAATTAATTAAATAATAAAAAATTAGTTAAAAGTGTTTGTGCACCCAAAAACAAAAAATAAAAATCTTTCTTTTTTACTTTTATCAGCCGATCGACATCAACCTTAAGGCATTTAAATATCTATCACTTGTATGAATTCAATAAGTTAATACTGGTTTAAAAACATAATACTTGTATGAAATTAATAAGTAAATACTTGTATGAGATTAATAAGTATAGAAATATATTAGTTGTATGAGTCGAGTAAGTTACAACTTGTATGATATTTTAATACTTTGTACGAAAATCTATTATTTGTAGTACCGAAATAAGTTTGAACTTGTTTAGAAATCTAATATTTCTATAAGTTTGCTAGTTAGTTCTTGTGTGAATCAATTATATGAATGAGTTTGTTAAGAAAATATTTGTAAGGAAATCTTATATTTGTATCTTTTTAATAAGTTAAAACTTGTTACAAATCTATTATTTGTATGATTTGAAAAGGCTAATACTCTTATGAGTTTAATAAGTTAGTACTTGTTTGGAAATCTATTATCAGTATGAGTATGTTAAGTTAGAACTTGTTTAGAAATTTGTTATTTGTATGAGTTTAATAAGTTAATACTTGTATGAAAAATTAATACTTGTATAAGATTACTAACTTAACACATGTATGGTAATCTATTATTTGTAGTAGCTTAATAAGATAGAACTTGTATGAAAATCTATTATTTATATGAGTTTTTTAAAATTATACTTGTTTGAAATTCTATTATTTATATCAGTTTAATAAGTAAATACTTGAATGGAAATCTTTTATTTGAAGAAGTTTTATAAGTCAGTAGTTTAATAAGATAATACATTTATGGAAATCTATTATTTGTATGAATTGAATAGGTTAATACTTGTTTGAAAATTTAACTCGTGCATGATATTTATAAGAAAGTAACCAATGGGAATCTTTTATTTGTGTGAGATTTACTAGTTAAAACTTATAAGCAAATTTAATACCTGTATGATATTTATTTGTTAATAATTGTATGGAAATCGCTAATTAGTATGAGTTTTTAAATAAAGCACTTATATAGGAATCTATTATTTATATGAATTAAATAAGTTAATTCTTGTTTAAATTTTAGTGCTTGTATGAGACTTACAAGTTAGTATTTGTATGCAAGTCTATTATTTGAATGAGTTTGTTAAGTTAGTACTTGTATGGAAATCTATTATTTGTATGAGTTTATTAAGATAGTGCTTGTATAGAAATCTATTATTTGCAAGAGTTTAATAAGTTAATACTTGTATGAAAAATTAATATTTGTATGAGTTTAATACTTTAGTTCTTGTATGGAAATCTATTATTTCTATGTGCTTAATAAAATAGTACATTTATGAAAACCTATTATTTTTAAGAGTTTATTAAAATACCACTTGTATGGAAATATATTATTAGTGTGAGTTAAATAAGTTAATGCTTGTATGAGCTGAATTAGTTTATACTTGTATGGAAATCTATTATTTGTATGAGATTAACAAGTTAAAACTTATAAAAAAATGTAATACCTGTATGATATTTATATAATAGTATTTGTATGGAAATCGCTTATTAGTATGAATTTTTTAAGTTAGAACTTATATAGAAATCTATTATTTATATGAATTTATAAAGTTAATACTTGCTTAAAATTTTAATGCTTGCATAAGATTTATAAGTTAGTACTTGTACGGAAATCTATTAATTGAATGAGTCTTTTAAGTTAGTACTTGTATGGAAATCAATTATTTGCATCTGTTTAATAAGTTAATATTTGAATGGAGTTCTATTATTTACATCTGTTTAAAAAGTTAATACTTGAATGGAAATCTTTTATTTGTATGAGTTTAATAAGTTGTTACTTGTATGGAAATCCATTATTTGCATCTGTTTAATAAGTTAATACTTGAATGGAAATCTTTGATTTGTATGAGTTTAATAAGTTAATACTTACATGAAAATTTAATACTTGTATGAGATTAACGAGTTGGTACTTGTATGGAGATCTATTATAAGTACTAGTTTGTTAATTTAGTTTTTTATATATATCTTTTATATGTAGTAGTTGAATAAGTTAGCACTTGTATGGAAATATATTATTTGTATGAGTTTAGGAAGTTAATATTTGTATGGCAACTTATTATATGTATGAGTATAGTAAGCTAAAACTTTTTTGAAAATTTAAGAATTGTATGAGCTTAATGTGTTAGGGCTTGAATGAAAATTTATTATTTGTTTGAGTTTGCTAGGATAATCTTACATAAAAACCTATTTTTTGAATCCTTTAAATAAGATAAAACGTGTATGGAAATCTTAATTTGTAACAGATTTATAAGTTGGTAGTTTAATAAGTTAGTAGTTGTATGAAAATCTATTATTAGTATGAGATTGTTTGTTGGTACATGTACAGAAATCTATTATTTGTATGAGTTTAATAAGCTAATACTTGCGTTAGGTTAATAAGTTGATCCTTGTATGGAAATGTATTATTCGAACGAGTTTGTAAAGTTAGTAGTTGTATGGAAAGCTTTTATTCGTATGAGTTTGTTAATTTAAAACTTGTATAGAAATCCTTTATTTTTATGGGCTTATATAGATAACGCATGTATGGGAATCTTATATTTATATCAGTTTAATAAGTTAATACTTGTATGGATATCTATTATTTGAAGCTGTTTTTTAAGTCAGTGGTTTAATAAGATAATACTTGTATGGATATTTTTTATTTGCTTGAACTGAATAAGTTAATACTTGTTTGAAAATTTAATACGTGCATGATATTTAGATGTTAATACTTGTATGGAGATCGATTATAAGTATAAGTTTTTTAAGCTAGCACTTACATAGGAATATATTATTTACATGAGTTTAATAAGTTAATACTTGTTTAAAAATGCTTGTGTGAGTTTGTTAAGTTAGTACTTGTATGGAAATCTGTTATTCGAAGTAGTTTTTTAAGTTAAAACTTGTATAGAAATCTATTACTTGTATGAGTTTAATAAGTTAAAACTTGTGTGAAAATTTAAGACATGTATGAAATTAATAAGTTAATACTTGTTTGAAAATTTAAAACTTATATGAGATTAAAGAGTTAATACTTGTATGGAAATCTATTATTTGTATGAGTTGAGTAAGTTAATACTTGTATTAAAATCTATTATTTCTATGTGCTTAATAAGTTAGTACATAAATGGAACCCTATTCTTTTTATGAGTTTATTAAGATACCACTTGAAAAAAATCTATTATTTGTATGAGCTTAACAATCTAATACTTGAATGAGATTAATTATTTAGTCCTTGATTGGAAACCTATTATTAGTACGAGTTTGTTAATTTAAAACTTGTATAGAAATCCTCTTTTTGTATGGGCTTATTTAGATAATACATGTATGGAAATCTATAATTTGTGCGAGTTGAATTAGTAAATATTATTATGAATATTTAATACTTGTATGAGTTTAATATGTTAGTCCTTTTATGGAAATCTATTATTTGTATGAGCACTGTGAGTTAGAACTTGTATGAAAACCTATTAATTTTATGAGTTTACTAATAAACCATTTATATGGAAATCTATAATTTGTACGAGTTAATTAGTTAATCTTTTAATGAAAATTTAATACTTGATTGAGTTTAATATGTAAGTACCTGTAATGGAATCTACTACTTGTATGAGTATAATGTGTTAACACTTGTACAAAAATATTTTATTTGTATGGGTTTAGAATTTTAATACTTGTATGAGATTAATAAGTTAATACTTGTATGAAAATTTAATACTTGTATGAGATTAATAAGATAATACTTGTTTGGAAATATATAAGCTGTATGAGATGAGTAAGTTTATAGTTGTATGAATTTAATATGTTAGTCCTTGTATGGAAATCTATTACGTGTATGAAACTGTGTTATTTGTAACAGTTTTATAAGTTAGTAGTTTAATAAGTTAGTAGTTGTATGAAAATCTTTTATTAGTATGAGATTGTTTGTTGGTACATGTATAGAAATCTATTATTTGTATGAGTATAATAAGCTAATACGTGTGAGATAATATAATACTTGTACGAAATTAATAAGTTAATTTTTGTATGAGATTAATAAGATAACACTTGTATGAAAATTAAATACTTGCTTAAGATTAATGAGTAAGTACTTGTTTGGAAATCTATTATTTTAAATAGCTTAATAAATAAATACTTGTTTGAGATTAATATACTAGCATTTGTATGGAAATCTATTAGTGGTTGTAGCAAAATAAGTTAGAACTTGTTTAGAAATCCAATATTTGTATGAGTTTGCTAAATAGTACTTGTGTGAATCTATTATTTGAATAAAATTGGTAAGATAATACGTGTAAGGAAATCTTCCATTTGTATCAACTTAATAAGTTAAAACTTGTAGGCAAATCTTTTATTTGTACGATTTGAAAAGGTTAATACTTGTATTAGTTTAATAAGTAAGTATTTGTATGGAAACCTATCATTAGTATAAGTTTCTTAAGTTAGTACTTATATAGAAATCTACTAATTGAATGAGTTTTTTAAGTTAGTACTTGTAAGGAAGTTTTTCACTTGCATCTGTTTAATAAGTAAATACTTGTATGGAATTCTATTATTTGCATCTGTTTAATAAGTTAACACTAGTTTGAAAATCTTTTATTTGTATGAGTTTAATAAGTTAATACTTACATAAAAACTTAATACTTGCATGAGATTAATAAGTTAGTACTTGAATGGAAATCTGTAATTTGTATGATTATAATAAGCTAAAACTTTTTTGAAAAATTAATATTTGTATGAGCTTAATGTGTTAGGACCTGTATGAAAATTAATTGTTTGTATGAGTT